GCGAACCCGGGTGGGGGGGCCAGGTTCCCATCGGTCAGAACCTGGGGAGAGGGCCGGGGTCCGGGGGTGTGAGTGCCGGCGCTCCACTGCACTGGGTGGGGTTTCCAGCGAGCCCCACCATGAGGCCTGGCGACGGCATCAGAAGGACAGGACAGGGGCGCAGGGCGGTCCCCCCGCCCACCGGCCCAGCCTCACCGGTAGGTTCTCCTTCTGCTGAAGCGCCGCCTTTTTCTTCCACAGCCGGTCGCGCAGCTCGCTGACACGCCGGTCCATGACGGCCACCTCGGAGTTGCGTTTGTTCAGACATTCCCTCTGCTGCTGCAGCTTGGCGTTCTGCTCCTGGTTCAGCTTGTTCCTCAGCTGCAGAAGCAGCAGGACTAAGGAAGGAATGGAAGAGGCCCTTCTCCCTGGCAGCAATCACACAGCTGACTACTGCGCAATTTCTAAAATTGTGAGGCTGACACAATGTGCTCCTGGGTTACAATCAAGGGGTGTCTGTGCCGGCTGCGGTGCCTGCACTTCCTGCCTGAGGTGCCGCCGAGTTTATTCCGGTTCTCGGGAAACACTGCCACCCGCCCCCACGCCCTCCACAAAGGCAGCTGTGTCCCGGCACTGCCTGCTATCCCCAGGCTCCCAGGCAGCTCTGCCTACCTGCAGCTCCTTGTACAGCCGGTCCAGCTCAGCCACTGCAGACTGGCTGTCATGGTGGCCATCGATCCTGCCGTTCTTCAGCATCTCCAGCTGCCTCATGAGTTCTTCTACTTTTGACACGGCCAGGACTAGCTCCCTCTGCTTCTGCTGGAACAAACTATTCATCTGTTCAATTTCCTCCACTGGAACGAGAGAACAGAAAAGAAAAGTAGGAATGGCCTCCTTCCCGGCAACCAGGCTCTCTTGAAAAGTGTAGAAACCTGGAACCAACCTCAGCCTTTCAGAAGCAACTGAAAGGGACACAGACATCTCCAAATGTCAGTGCAGACATCTGAGGAAGCTGCAGGATTTATACAATGAATGTTATGAAACATTAAATGCCACATTTTGGAAACAATGAACTTTTTATTCTCAATTGTACAATGGTGGACAGAACTACTGAATTGCTAAAATCCTAATCTAAATGGTATTGTGATAGATGGAACTACCTATATGAGTAAAATCTTTATCTTCATCAAATTCTTAGTCAAGAATTAATTCAAGAAAAAAAGGACCCTTTCCAGGGTTAATTTGAAAAGCCTGCTATACATTCAGTGCTAAATTCAACAGAGAGGAACTTGAAACATCAAAACTTCAATTGCTATGCTTTTTCTAAAAATTCCTTTTAAACTCACCTACGGAGACTCATCTTCTGAGCACAAACTCACATAAACTCTGGACAGTCCCACATCCACGCCCTCATTCACACAGCCCACGTCCATACAGCCCACGTCCACGCAATTCACATCCACACAGTCCCCTCCACACAGCCCTCGACTACTCAGCTCAAGTCCACGCAGCCCACTTTCACACAGCCTCGACCACACGGCCCACGTCCACGCAGCCCACTTTCACACAGCCCTCAACCACGCAGCCCACGTCCACGCAGCCTGAAGGCACAGCGCACCGAGCTTCCCGTTGCTCAGCCGCTTCTGCTCCACGTGGCCCTTGAGCGCCCGCACTTTCTTCAGCTTGGCCTCCTGGCTCTCGGCCAGTTCTCTCAGCCTCTTGAGCTTCTCCTGCTCAGCTGCCTGTTGCTGACGTTGATCTTGTTGTTTCAAAAATTTTAAGCGCTGTTCCTAAAGATAAAAATGGGAAAAGCAGTCCCTGGCAGGTCTCTTTGGACAGGTGTCCCAGGCCCTCGCAGTGGCCTGGCCACATCCCTATGTGGGTCCCCCGGGACACCTTCCACTCGGTCGTGCTGGGTGCTGGCCGCACACAGATGCTCCTGGAGAGAGGACCCAGGACACCTGGCAGTTCGCAGGTAGCAGGGATCCTGGACTGGTTTTCCTAATTGCACTACAAATTCGTGCAGGGCTCCTGTGCAGTGGGGGCCAGTGCAGGAAGCAGTGGTGAGGATTCAAATCCAGATTTACACCCAAGCTCAGCCACACGTGACCCACGAGAGCTGGCTCACTCCACAGCCTTCAGAACACACGCCTGTGTCCACACAGCAGGGTGACTGGGAGGAGCCACAGCCCCTGCAGCAAGGGTTCAGTGAGGTGGAAACACAGCTCTGCACGGCCTGCACTCAACCACACTGTCAGACACTGCAGAGTGCACTGGAAGCTTTGGCGCTAAACTGTTAACCGTAACTGAGGAGCAGAGTCACAAGTCCATAACCAGCAGGGAGCTTCTCAGTGCCCACAACTCAAGCTACACGGAAGCAATTCCAGCACAAGGACCCTGAGGCCAGAAACTCATCCGGCCACCCCTTCCCGTGGGAACTCAGCCCTGCCGCTAGTCCCAGTGCCACTCCACCCACTGTGTCCAAAGGCGCCATCATTAAGACAGCGAGGGGACCAGCACACACAAGGCGCTGCTGTGCCAAGGATGTTGCCTGGCATCACACAAGGGACGGGCGCAGGCACTCTGGGAATCCTGCATAGACAGCCACTGCATGTGAGTGCCAGATGGTCACAAGGACCCCTGGGTCGTGGGAAGCCACCAAGTGTCCACCCCAGTGGCAGGAGACAATGGTCACTAAAACCCATGCTGGCACACACAGCCCAGGCCAGGTCCCCATGGGTCGCTGGTGCACAGCCACGCCCCTCCTGCTGATCAGAGCCAAGCCCAGCAGCTGCCACCAGTGGAGGAGCGTGGGCTAAGACAGCAGACTGAGATCAGACTCTGCCCAGTGTCCAAGAGAAGCCGAGAGCTGGCACTGACTGCAACAGAGAGGATTTTCCTTGCCCAAGGCCACGCACAGGGTTAGTCTGTGGGTAAAAGTGTTCCCCAAAAGGCAGTAATCTATGCTGGTCCCAAGTGGCAGAGGGGCAGTGTCAGGTCACTAGACGTTAGAGTTACTCCAGCTGTGGCCCAGAGGGGTCCCAGCGGCAGAGCGAAGGGCTCTTGGCCTTTCCTGTTTCACCCTCTCTTCCCCAGCACCATCACCAGGATCATAGTTGATCAGGCTGGGCACTGCGACACTCCCAGCTACTCAGGGTGCGGGGGAAGCAGGAGGATCACTGAGCCAGGAGTCTGAGGGCAGCTGGGGCAGCCCAGCAAGACCCTGAACTACCACCCTCCAAAAACAGGAGTCAGGAAGACCGTGAACAAGTGGGAGGATTCAAGCACCCAGCACAGTGCTGGAGCATGGGCAAGCAAGTGCCAAGGGTGTGGAGCTGAAGGCTGGTGAGGCCACTCCCATGTGGGTCAGGACGGGGTGACGGAAGACAGCTTTACACGAGTGCTGGCAACTGAGCAGCGGGGCTCGGGGAGCAGGCGTACCTTGGTGGCCAGCATCTGCTGCTGGGCCTCAATCTGCTGCTGCTGGCGAGAGGCCATCTCCTGAAGCTCCGCCAGCGTTAGGTCCATGCGGGGACTGTCCACCTGCAGCCAGGACACAGCGCCACACTCAGCCTGCGGCACAGGACCAGGCCAGCCCAGCCACTGCCACCATAGAGCCCAAGGCTAGCCTGGGCAGCACAGCTAGACCCTGTCTCCAAACTCAATTAGCCCTTTTTTCTGTAAGTGGTTATGCAACAAATAAAAATCACTAAAACCAAAACTAAACAAAAACTTTGACTTCTTCAACTGGGTTTGTGATACATTCAGCATCTAAATTCTTACACTTACTACCCCTGTGGATATGGGTTAAAAGTGATAGTTTTTAAAATAACCTTTGGGCAGGCATCCTCAACCCGGTGATACAAAGTAAGAGTGACTGAGACACAAGGTTACCAAGCACAAGTATAGATGAAACTGAGACTCACTCCATTCTCCTTTCGCTGGTGTTCTCCGGGGACTTTCACACCATTTCTCCTCAGACTTGGATCCTGAGACCTCGGGCCACTCACTAAGCACAAAATTTAAAGGCAGACTTTAATCCAAGAGCCGAGAGCCTGTACCACTCACACGCCGATTCTGCTGTGACTGCGCTGGGCTCGGGGCGAATTGGCATCTGCCTTCTCCTAACAGCGACAGGTTAGGGTGCAGATGAGGGAGAAGCTGGCACCAGGACCCCCCACACAGAGCCTGGCCACTGGGAAAGCCCCGGGCCACCTAACAACAATAGAAACCCACAAATCGTGCTCTCTGGCTATGGGGATCTCACACCGTGCTGTGTTCCCCTAGTTCTGAGCTACTCAGAAGGAAAACCAGAGACAGCCTCACAAAACGAAATAACTGAAATTAAGTCAATCCATCCAATTTAAGATTGTCTGTAACTTGTACACAAAATAAGCAATTAACAGAACAAGTGAGTGGTGTTTTGGTTTATTGAGGCATTCTGTGGTCCGTAAGCTCTGAAGAACCTTCCTCGTTTAAGTGCAGCTTTTTGGTTTCTCTGGGAAAACACTACCTGAAAAGCACTGAGCATTCTGATTTTTGGCAAAAAATAATTTTGCAACCCAAAATATGATTCTCTCAGTCCCATTTAATGTATCAAAAAGGGTAAAGGATGAATTTAAACTGATATATTCTATAGTATCAGCAAAGGGAACATCTAAAATACATTTCATTCTTGTAAACCCAGAAATTAGAAAAGTTATTAAACTACCTCTTAAGAAACTTTAGACTACAGATGCTGTGAGTCAAATGCCTGTCGTATCTGCCAGGAAGCACACTACAAACCCCTATGTCGATACATTGAAAAATAAGCAAGCCAGATGATACAATTATTATCCACAACAGCACAGTGTAACTGTATTTTTCTTTCTCTTTCTTTCTTTCTTTCTTTTTTTTCTTTTGTACCAGGATCAAATTTGGCTTGTGAGGCAGGTGGTAGAATGACTGAGCTAAATCCCCAGCCCTTATTTACATTTTTATTTTTTGGAATACTGGGGATTGAAACTAGGACTTCACACATGCTAGGTAAGGGCTCCACCATAGAGCTGCAGCTCCAGCCTGCATTTATTTGTTAGTTCGATTTTTTTTGTTCTTTTGAGACAGGATCTCATTCTGCTGTTCATGCTTGGCCTTGAACTCACTATGTAGCCCAGGGTACTTCAAACTCCTGTGATCCCCCTGCCTCAGCCTCCTGAGTGCTGGGACTACTTGAGTGACCCACCAGTCTCCCAGCCCACATTTTAAAAGTACTACACAGACATGGTGGTCAGCTACTGATGAGGCCCAGCCAGGGGAATCACAAGTTCAAAGCCAGCCTGGGCAATTTGGGAAGATTCTGCCTCAAAATAAAAATGGCTGGGATGTAGCTCAGAGTAGAATACCACTGGTTCAACACCCAGTACAAATAAAATAAAATTCTGCTCAAACTGGGCATAGTGGTATGCACCTATAATCCTAGTGACTCAGGAAGCTGAGGCAGGAGGGATTCTGAGTTCAAGCCCAACTAGCCCAACATACTGAAAGATCCTCTCAAAAAAAAAAAAATTAAATCTTCCTGAATTCTCCAACAAAATAGGGTAATCAGTCATGATAGTTCTGCAAAAAAACCAAAAAAAACCCACTTGTTTCTTTGCTGCCTCAAAGAGCAAACACTTACCTAGTTTCTCCTTAATACAACCAGTTATGTAACTGTAACCAAAAGGAAGACCCCAGAAATAATTTCATGCACGTGTGGGTCACAGTCCCAGTGAGACAGGACAGAAGCCATGGCCCCATCTCCTGACCTCTGCCTGCCTCCCAGGTTCAGGGAGCAGCGGCCCCACCCCACTCCGTCCCTGCCTGTCTAACACAGTGTGGCGCTGGCTCCTGCGGCAGCGTGACAAAGGCCCCCGCGTTGCCACATTACTGTTCTCACATTTCAGACACGGACTCACGGTGCGGCCAGGAGACTCGTTCATAATTTACCGCACTCTGCAGGAGACACTCGAACAGGGTGATGGGCAGGTGAAATGCAGCTCATTAACGAGAACGGGCTGCACCACCACGTGAGTGAAGAGAAAACTCAGGTGCCAACGCCAACCCCAAAGTGTAAAGAAGGCTGGGGGACACGAATATCAAAACACGACTGCAGACACAGGCACCGACGGCTGCCCTTGGGCCTCGGTCCCAGGCTAGCTGGGGCGGTGAGTCAGGGGGCCCAGGGAGTCCTCCTTCCTATCGTCAGCGTGGACCACTACCAGAACAGGAGGGAAGCAGAGGACGATGCCCCTCGGTCACAGCCGCCACCTCGTCCCGCCTCCCAAGACAACTGCCCTCGGCTTTCTGTTTTAAAACTCCAGGGGTTCCAGAAACCCCCAGGAATCCTGCCTCGCCCCGGGCAGAGTCCACGAGGCCTTGGGCCACATCCAGCCCCACGGCCCTGAGTCACCTTCTACCTCCCCGCTGCCATCCACACTCTGTCACTAAGACGCGGCCACCACCACCAAGTCCTCCCCTTGGGGACAACGCTGCCCTTGGGCCTGCCGGGTCCTCTAGCCCGGCCCATGACACACACAGCTGACAACGGAAAATGGAACATTCTGTTTTCTGATGAGTTTCCTCTCGCTGCACCCATCGTCTCCTCTTGCCCCGTCCCCTTCAGTGACCCCTCCGTCCACCCAGCAGAGCCACCACCTTGCCAACACCGTCTCCTCCCCGTCTGGGGACTTCCACAGAGTTGTCACACAGCACCCAGCGTTGGGTCACCCTGTGTCTCCGCCTCCACGGCTGCCCAGGCTACAAGCACTACAGAGACCGACACCTCAGTCTCGGGGTGTCCTCGGGGCTCTGCAGGACACTGACCCCCACGGTCTCGGGGTTTCTCATCCCAGCTGACCTCAAGGCGTCCCACAGTCCACCTTCCCAGGACGCGCCCTCCTCCACGGACAGCACGCCTGCGCCCCGGGTCCACCATGGCCATTTCAGATGACTTCACCACACCCTGGTGTGCAGAGAACCCCGACTCACACCAGAGTGCACACAGTGAGACGGCCACGTCTGTCCCCACCAGCTCCTTCACCTCTTAGACTCCTGTCCCTCTTGCTGCCTGCTCTCCTCCCCGACAGTCACCAGCCACAAAGGAAAAGGCTCGGACACCGGTCCCGAGCCACGGACGACCACCCACCTACGTCTCTGCCGGGCGGGCGTTCATGACGGAGGAAGAAACGAACTTCATTCCGCTGGCTTCCCAGTCGCTGAAGAACATCGAACATTCGCTCATTGTCAGCAACTGGGCGTTCTGCGAGAAATGAGAAATCATATTATCTGCAGGAAAAAGAAAGATGAACACATTTACCACCTAGTCCTGACCAAATTACACGTCCTGGACAGCAGAAATTCTTCATATCTTAACATTTTTCTTTTCTTGCAGTGAAAGAACTCAGGAAAGGAAGTGACCCCAATTTCTACACAGAGCCAGCGTGGAGCCGGATGGAGTTCTAGGTGGAGGAAAGGGCTGGGCATCTAGTCCAGCACGCACCTTCCTCGTCGTTTGAGTTGTGCGGTTTCTGTGAAAATCCACCATGCCAGCCAGTCCCTCCCAAGGCTAACATGCTACGGCTCCACAATTATCTAAAGAAAATATAACCAGGAGCTTTCTAAGTTTCCTACTATGATTTTTAGTTTTTAGTACAGCCTATTTCTAACTTACAACTTGGTAAACAATGTTAAAAGGTCACACTCCTCTACTTCTAAACAAAAGGCTCCCGACTGCCGGTAGAGAATCTCTCTAGGAGACAGCCGGCCGCCAGGACTTTGGAGGCAGGGGGTGCTGTGTTATCTTGAGTCCTCCAATAATCTTCCAATCTCAGGAAAGCAAGCTGGAGGTGAAAACCAAACACAACATCTGAGAAGGCAAACTCCAAATGGCGGCAATATCGTTTTTGAATATGCCTGCTAAAGTAGTCCAAGAACACTACACGCTCACCACTGGTCAAAGACGCCAGCTCCTTAAATACGCGATATGGGCAGAGCCAGTTCTGCCCTCTGGATCTCACCTGCCTGCTGGGAACCGCAGGGCTCTGGCCTCGGGCCCTCACCTAGGGAGCTGCACAGACAGACAGCCCCTCTGTGAGCTGCAGAACCCTCAGGCACTCATGAGGAAAGCATCCATGACCGAGAGACCCACGCCAGAGGATTGCTGAAAGAACCCTCCGTGCCCAGCATCACAGAGGCACAAACACAGTCCTCAAAACAAACGAAGTAAGGACGTGTATGGCACACACCTATAACTCCAGCTACCCGGGAGGCTGAGACAGAAGGAAATTCAAAACCAGCCTTGGCAACCTGCCAAGACCAAAGTATCAGTCAGCTTTCCCACCACTGGGACGCGATACCTGAACCCCACGACTGAAAGGGGGATGGGTTTAATTCAGCTCACGGTGTCAGAGGGTTCAGTGCATGGCTGGCTGGCACCAAGGCAAGAATATCACAGAGAAGCAAAACTCAGTGCCAGAGAGGAAGGGTCAGAGGCCACATACAGACCTCCAGGTTGGCCTCTGTGGCCCCGGTGGACACAGTTGGAAGTGTTCTCCTCTAGTACCTGGGTGGCTCCCAAAGCCAGTCAAGCTGACAGCTTCCCTAACTGCCACAGCCCGTCTTCGAGAAACACAGACAGAGAGAGAGAGAAAATGAAATGAAGTTAACCTCCAGGTTCCCACAGCTAAGAGGAAATGAAGGACATGCAGCAACTCCCAGCCCCACTGGCTGCCCGGGGACCGGTCCCTCACAGGGGCACGGGGCAGCGGCCTGGCGACAGGCCATCCCACGCGGGCCTGGCCTCGCTGAGACAGCTTCAGAGGCCCTTGGAGCTCTGGCCACCCCAGTCCTGGCCCTGGCATCCCCAAGGCTGGTCACAACACGCTCACTGCAGTCCTGCACACCCACTCGTGCCCGCCGCTACCTCGCAGGACGGACCTGTCGGCTGGATCAGCTCACAACCCTGTGTCTCCGCACCCCTCAAGATGCAGTACGACGCAGGGGTCCAAGGAGTGTTCTCTAAGCAAATTTGTGAGTGGACAGTAACAGAAGAGAAAGGGAAGAAGGGTGGGGGAGGGAAAGAGGAGGAGCTTGAACACTTGCGAAAGAAACAACAGAAGACAGTGGCAGCTTTGTTGTAGGAAAGGACATCTGTAACCAGCACACAGAAGCCCTGAGGTCCAAAATAGAGTTTTCCAGATGCCTAAAATGAAGAGGGAAGGCAAGAGCTAAAGGAAATAAAGGGGAAGGATATAAAGAAAACAAACCGAAAAAGTGGATCATGATGGGCTGGTAAAAGTAATCAAAGTATTTTATATGCAGTTCAGATCTGCCTAATAGAAACCCATTCATCCATACAACCAAGAAAAAAGGGGGGGAAAATAAAAACAGACGGGTTGTGGTGGTGTGTGCATGTAATCCCTGCACTCAGAAGGCTGAGGCAGGAGGATCACTGAGTTCAAGCCCAGCCAGAACTACACAGCAAGACACTGTCTCAAAAAAAAAAATAATAAAATAATAATAATAATTAATAATAAGGGGAAAGGGAATAAGGGAAAAGAAAAAAATATGAGAAAATGAAAAAATGGAAATAAAGTGTTTGTAAATGGGGAGGGGAGGAGAGGGTGAAGGGAGGGCAGGGACAAGGGGAAAAAATGAGAACCATGACCTGTCGTGTAGAGGTACAAGATCCCAGTGATGAATGTAACTGCACTGTATACCTAGAATGTACCGATAAACTCAATAAAAAGAAAAAATAATAATAATAATAATTTTAAAAATTAAAAAAAGAGTAAACTTTAAATGGCCAATAAGCAAATGAAAAGATGGGCGACTTCACATGTAATCAAAACAATGCAGGTTTAAATCAAAGACCATTTTTAGCTATCAGTTTGGCAAAACTCAAAATATTATTCTAACAACTGCTGATGGAAGATACAGTGCCTTGAGTCACAAACTCAATTCATTCCAGGGCTGCTTGTAACTCAAGTTGGTCAGTGAAGGCTCAGGCTCCTCTCCACAGCCTTCAAAGTCTCTCTCCTGCACACAGGCAGATCTCAGCATCCTTAGAGAGAAACTGACCCAGGATTTCTCAATGAACCCCACACAGGAGAGGAGGTTGTCAGGTTCCTTCCAGAGCTCTGTAAGGGAAAGTCTGTGTGTGAGACCATCTGGAAGCACAAGTGGCCAGCATTCGGGTCGTAACTTAAATTGTTGGTCATAAGATAAAATAAAAATTCCAGTCTTAACCTCAGGCCAGTTGTAACCTGAGGGTCCTCTGTACTTTTAGGAACAAATGGAAGGAGGATGAGCTGATCAATATATTTGGCAACACACGGCACATTCCTAAACGTGTGAACATTCGCCAAGGAGTCCTGCTCACACCACCCGGGGGAAGCTCGCACACAACAGAAAGGCCCTTGGAGGAGTTTGCAACAGCGTTTAAGGAAGCGAGAGCAGAATTAGCTTGCATGTTTATGAATAAAAGGTTACCTCAACTGCAGTTTCCACCACGATGGAAAATTATGTGGTGATTAAAAATGATCACACAAATTTACACAGAGGAATCTGAAAAGGTCTCCAAGCTATCAGATAAAATAGCTAATTTAGCTGAAATCCATGCGAACAGAGGAACAGCAATGACCAGCTCTGGAGGGACAGCCATGGGGACAGAGGGGACACGAACGTGAGAGTGAGGACACCACTCCACGGTGAGAACAGTGGGGCACGGCCCAGAAGTGGGGGCAAGGGTGAGGGACCCGAGGGCTCTGCTGTTGAGGACAAGCGTCTGGACTTCGTGTGAGAAGAAGTGTTTGAGGCAGGAAGGGAAAATTACCCGGTGCTTTGTGTTTCAGGGTTCACAGGGCATTCTTTAGGCAAATGGCCTCCCTGGCCCCTCCATCAGCGAAAGGGAGGGTGACACAGGGAGAGCGGGGGCTCCGAGACACCCCACCTCGGGAAGCCACCAATGAGGAAGGGCCTGCCGGGAACAAGTGGGGCCTGAAGTCACAGGGAATGAGCCCGATGTGCCCCCCCCAGCACAGCTGGCCCCGGAGGAGGAAAAGGACACGGCAGGGTGGCCCAGCTGTGTGGGAACAAAGCAGAAACAGCCAGAATCACACCCACGTCTAGGCTCCCGCGGGCCAAGAAAGCACTTGTGCCATCTTAGCCCCAGTCGTGAGACTGGGGTGATGTCAGGGCCTGCAACCCTGCTGTGACAGCCTCGCTGCTGCCTGTGTGAGGGTCTCCAAAACCCACAGAGACCGAAGGAGAGGCGCGGCCATCCAGAGGCTCTGGCTTCTCGTCCCTTGGAGCCTGAACGCCACAGTCACTTCAGATGCTGCCTCCTGGCCCTCGCCTCCCGCTCAGATCTTTCCTCTTGACACCGCAGTGTCGCAGCGCAGGAGTCTCGTACCCGAGCCACGCCACACCTCGGCCAGGTGGCACTGGCTCTCGCCGGGCTCCTTGCACAGGTCCACCAGGTCGCGGCACGTGGTCTCGGGGGTGACGGGCACCTCCGTGAAGTGCTGCTCATCGTTGCTGAGGTGCACTGTCAGGAACATCTGTGGACAGAGACACCGTGGTCACGGTGTGGCCAGCACACGCCAGTCACCCAGCAGGGGGCCACCCTGGCCCGGCCCTGTGCCCCAGGGTCCCTGCCTCCCCGGGCCCGCAGAGCTCCAGGAACCAGCCACCAGTCACACCGCCTCACATCAGAGTGCCGCCCAGCCCTCTCCTGCACTGTTCAGACCATTTACCAAACTCCTGTCATTTTGGGGTGGGCCAGACCCACATACAAACTGTGTAATCCGCCTTTCAGAATCAACTGGACTCCCTCCTTCTCTCTCTCTTTCACACACACACACACAAACACCTCTTTCTGGAAGGTATGTACAGTGCCACTTCTGAAAGAGGGGATGGGAAAGAGGAGATTGCAGTGGTGGGAACCCAAGGCTTGGGTGCCTCAGTGGGCTACTTGCATCATTGAAAGCTCTAAAACCTTCGAATCACTGGCTTGGGGTAAATCTAATCTTTATGTCATCTGCATTCATTATCTACCAAAAAAAATGTTTAAACCTAACATGTTTTAATCAAATTAAATACCTAAAGTGTAAGATTTCATCAACAAGTAAAAATGATTACCTATTATGCTGCAATTTACCTGATATTTTATATTCAGGATAGCAGATAATTAAAACTCATTAAAAATCTCCTCCTAAAAATAGATGCCATCTCTTAAAAACACTGCTACTAAAGAATTCATTTTCCAGGCCATGCAGATAGCTGTAGCACATTTGCCTAGTATATATAAGGCCCTAGGTTCCAATCCCCAGCATCACTAATAACTAACAATAATGCAGTTTTATACCTATCTAATTACAAAATATTTGGTAATTCCCTATCCTGAAGAAACTAAGTGAAACAGCAAGCAAGTCTTTGGTGCTGACACAAATTGGTAACCCATTTCATTCAATTTCATGACTATCCACTCCATTCAAATCAGTATGTGTCAGGATAAACAATATATAAACAATAATAACGCTCTGGAACAGACATCCCACTGTGAGAATTTATCCTCTGCAAATAATTCTCATCAAAGATACTCAAGGCTAGGTTTTTATGGGACATACTTAGCCTAGGAATCAGGACAGTCTTTAAAATGACAGGACCTCACCTACACCCCGGGGAAATCTGAGTATCACTGCGGCCCCACAGCTGTGAGGACCCTGCCCCGTGGCACAGTCTGCCAGCACTAACTCCCTCTGGCTTGGCTGTGCCCGAGGACAGTGGCAGTGGGCTGGGGCCAATGACAGAAACTGTCCGGACGGCAGGCAAGGCCACGGGCCGAGGTGGGTGAAGAGAGCGGAGACCCTCACTAAACCTGCTTCCCTGGGGCAGCCGGGTCATGGAAACACCACTAGCTGTGCGAGGCAGCCCAGAAGGGCCAAGAGCCAATAGGGCCAAGCCAATAAATAAAACGTGGAGGGGGACTGAAGTTCAGCCTGTGAGTGGAGGCCCTGGAGCTGCTGATCTCCCGCTTTTCCCATTCTGATAAACTGTAACACGTACAGACACACAGTTACACAGGGTGGCACTTAAAACTGTTACAGCAGAAAAGAGAAAGCTGGAGAAACTTACACTCCAGCCGTCCTCACCGCCCCCACATGGCCTCCTTATTCTGAGCCCTGAAGGTGTCTAGTAAATCACAGAAACCCTGGAAACGCCATGTGTGTCCTAAACGCATGAGCCGGCCTACAGGCCGCTGTGTGACCGCGGGGCGGAACCCACCTTTGGAGCTGTCCTCCCTGCTGTATGGAACCCACCCCGCTCTCCGAGGAACACAGCAGGCATTATTTTCTCTTTATAAACAAAGAAAAAGCCCCACTGCTCTACTGGGAGCAGTCCTGCTCCCCCACCCAACGTGCCCCCCGTGGGCACCTAGGGGAGACTCCCCACCAGCACCGCCCCAGGTGCTAAGACCAGCCCAGGAGGGCTGCTGGGTTACTGCACAGCTCAGTTACCAAGAAGGGAGGGCGGTGGCTTCTCGGGTGATCTCAGCCAGGGCCCAAGTCCCAAGGCGAGGGAGGCCATAGTGAGCCACTGGGCGGCAAGTCCAGGGCAAGGATCTGCTCTGATCCAGCCGTCACAGGGTGAGTGGCCTCAGCTCCCCCAGCCACCATTAGTAAGTGCTCAGCAGGTGACAACAGCCAGCCCACTTGACTGCCACGCCCCACAGCCTGCCGCCCCAGTTCCGTAAACACTGCAGGGCAGCCGCGCCAGTTCCCACACCGGCTCCTTGTGCTGGTGACACACGCAGGTGGCTCCTTTCCTCTTCTTGCACGTCTTCACGCTGCAGTCACCCTCTCAAGTCCTCTGAGCTCCTAGCACCAGGCACCCACACTGGCTCACACCCTGCGCTTCTCCGCCCGCCGTACAGGCTATACTCACTGGACTCAGTCCTATGACCCCAGCCCCTAGGGGTGTACACACTAGGGACTGAGGGCTCTGTCCCTGCTGGGTGTTCTCTCGGGTATGCAACAAGCACAAGCACTGGGATGGGCGCGTAAATCCCACAGATGGCGCTGCATTTTACAGGTGAGACACCAAGCACAGAGAGGTTAGTCACTCCCCAGGTCACACAGCGACAAAGCTGAGACCCCAAGCTGAGCCGGATTCCCTCCAGGCCTGGCCTCTCAGCAACGTGTGCCTAGCCACATCCTCAACAGCACCCAGACAAGGGTGCTCCCCACGTGGGCCACACCGTGTACCCCGGCCCCTGCTGCAGGTTCACAGCGATTCCTCCCACCTGCAAAGTGCTGGAACACACAGCACCCCAGCCACAGAGTCCTCTCGCTTCTGCTGAGCCCTGTTCAGTCAACGCCTCCATCCCCAGGAAGGAAAGAGCCGCTCGTGATGGTCGAACACAGGCAGGGTGTGAAGACCGCAGAGCACAGGCACCGCACACTGTGTGGCCCCCGGGCTGGGAATGAACAGCCCTCTGGGTGCCCCCATCCTCTCCCAGCCCAGCTGCCCTAGCCCGGATGGCCCTGCTGGATGGGGAGCTGAGTCCACAGGCGCCCGGGCCAGGAGCAGGAGTGGGAGATGAGCGCCAGGCGAAGGTCACCAGCGCTGTGGATGGACGAGGAAGGCACAGCGCTGGCCGGGACAGGCAGGGTCTCGTCTGCCAAGCATCCCGCTGGTTCCCAGGCCACGCCCCAGCCTGCAGGTGCATCTTCTTGGCTCTGCTGTCAACTCCGACCCCTGTCCCTGCTCCATCCACTTTGCCCCTCCTTGGGGTTCCCCACCTGTCTTCCTCCATCTCTACACAGCAACCAGGGTAATTTTCACACAATGACGCGAGTCACGTCACCGCTCAGAGCACTCCATGACGTCTTTGTTTGGGGTTGAAGTATAACTGGAGTCCTGTAAAACTGACCACTCTGAGGCGCAGATCAGCATCTCCGCCTCCAGGGCGGCTGCATGGGTGTCACGCGGCCCTCAGGGCCTCAGACACGGGAGCAGGCCTGCTTCTTGTGTGCATGCTCGGTGGATTTGTCACCTAAGCAGCTGGGTAGAATGGTTGGGTTTACGGAGGAGTAAGGAGAAAAAGGGTGGGAAAGGGCCCACAGGTCAAACTCGAAACACCTACTGAACATTATATATGGGCTCCAAGACCAGCGGGCTTGATGGTAAATGCCTGTCATCTGGCACTCAGGGAGGCTGAGGCGGGAGGATTCCAAGTTCAAGCCCAGCCTGGGCAATTTGGCCCCTTGGCAAGAGCCTATGTCAAATTAAAGAATGTTTAAAAGGCTCAGGGTGTAATTCTGTGAAAGCCCTAGGTTCAATCCCCACAAACTGCCAAAAAAAAAAAAAAAAAAAAAAAAAAAAAAGCCACAACACTGAGTGAGAGCAGCTGGGGACAGAAAAGAAGCTGAGCTAGAAAGGAAAGATCTGAGATGGCCAGGGGCCCCAGACACCAGGACATCATCCAAGGGTGGCAGAAAGCGCCCAGAGGACAGGACAGGCAATAGTTGGGCCACAGGGCTTCAGGAAGGAGGTGTGAGCCACCCGGTCCAACAGGCGACAGTGGACAGCTAAGCAGAGCCCTCACATCCTGCTGACAGCCCAGGGGCCTGGGGTGGCTGCGGGGGTTGGGGAAACAGCATAACTTCCCATACGGGCAGGCTGGCCATAGCGCACAGGGAAGGAGACACCAGCACCAGAGCGGTTGGTTCTGTCTCGGATCTGAATCTACAGGACTGCTGGGCGGGAGTGACCAGACCAGGACGGAAAGGAGGAGCGGGGTGGTGACAGCAGGGCCCCTCCAGCCTCACCACTGAACTGGTCAGCAGCCAGGAGTCCATGCGCACAAGACACCAGAGTATACAAAGCCGCAGATAAGGCAGCAATTGACATTATCAAGAGCTGAGGGGCGGGGAAGAACAGGGTGATTACTAAGGGTACAGGCTCCTGGAAGGTGAGGAAAGTGTCCCAGAACGAATGTAGATAGCTGTGCACCCCTTAAACAGACCCCAATCCAAGGCCTTCCGCTCCGCACAGGTGAATTGTATGGTGTATGAACCACATCCCACGTTTTCAAACTATATGCACAATGTGTGAGAGAGACGGAAACCTCTAGAGATAAAAGTTACTACTGAAAATGTAGGGGAAAACTGAGTTCTAATGATGTGGCTGAGACTGCAGGTAAAATGGCCACTAAGACGAGAAGACGGCTGCGGCCTGAGGTGGACAGAGGCCTAGCCCATGGGTGCACAAGGGAACGACTTTAGTCTGCAGCAACCTTCCTTCACAAATGCCTCAATACGTCTCATTTTTTAAAACGCCATATTCTCAAGGAGGCAGAGGTGACATCCACAGCTTGCTTCCCCTACCGAAGCCAGCCGAATGGGGTCCCAGGGTTAAATCCTGGGAGCTGCATACAAATCGGACTCTCCTAATGCAGCTATGGAAGTGGACGGGAAGCTCTGGAGGTATGAGGCAGTAATCAGGCCACAGCCACAGGGCCACAGACACCCTAGGACCGTGAGGGGCTGGGGCGCTG